TGGCCCAGAAAGGTAGTGGTGTTAGATTGGCTGTTTTCACCAGCAAGGACTTTTATTGTGTAGTTACCAAGCAAGGCTTCTGTGTTCACTGCAGAGCTACAAGCAGTTGTCCGTGATATTGTCCTAATATTGGGTTAGTCCGATCTCAGGTCAGATTGCTCTGATTCCTTGTTTTCTTCGTGTATCTAAGCCCAGTATGCTTATCCATGCTCTGGTCCATTATTAAAATCATAACCAAGTGCTAAAAACTTAAGGGTCATACAGTGCTGTATGGTATGGTCCAAAAGATCCACAGAGGGAGTGTTAGTCAGTCTCTGTGCAGCACAAGAATGTAGAGTTCCTGTTGGTGCCCTGGGCAGATGCAGTGGCCAAGACTGGTATAATGAGCTTTATAGCAGACTTCTGCCTTAGTGATGTCATAGACCACATACCTAGACATGTTGAGAAATGGCAGACCTGGTGGGCCCTACACAAGTTATATGCAGGGTTCAATAGAACATGGGCATTTGATCCTCCAACAATACCGTAATTGTTACTTGAGAGGACTGAAAATTGAAGATCAGGCACATAACCTGTCTCTCACTTATAAAAATCATGTTAACATAACTCATCACATTTTTAACTAGATACTTATTACATAAAGCCTGCTGGTGAACAATGCAGTGAAACTGCATGGAACATTTAGCATTCAAATTAGCTAATTTTTTTATTAATTCTTAAACTGCTATACATACAGTTTGTTGACACTAACACACCTTTTAACATAACTTTTCACATAAATTTTATAGCCAACACCTTACTCATTGTTTGATTTAAGCTTTTACAAATATTGGTAATTGTGCAGTAAAATTTGTTTTTCTAATAGGTTGAGAGCTGCATTAAAATCTTGCATTTTGGTGAAACCTGCTCTAAATTATTCAAATATAATCTCTCCAGGTTTGCTGGTCTTTTTATTATTGGAGATATAAAAAACTTTTTAACCTTTCCATGAAATCATATACAAATTTAAAATTAAATCTTAGTGAAGCAGAAATTATTGAATTAATTTATTTCTAGTGTTTGTAACTTGGAATTGTCAATGTTTGAAGGTAGGAACTTAAGAAATGCAGTACTTTATTTAAGAGTTGTCAGCAACCCCTAGCACTGACAGTTTAGTCTGTTATCCACAATGCCTCAAAACAAATAAATAGCGAACATTACTCTTCATTATACAACACTACGGTACTCTATATTGATAAGACATATGCGCAGCAGTTAAATATCTTTATTCTAAAATGTTTTTGCCTACACGGTAGGCTTCATCAGTCGAAAGTAGAGGCGGTAGCAGAAGCAGTGTAGAAACGATGTAATCAGCCCGTCACCCTTGAAGTAGTAGTTTTGAGGTGGTCAGTGCATACATTACCCTGGAGAAGAGTTCTGCCCTGTAGTCTGGGACTGTGGAACAGAACTCTTCTCTAGGTTAAGGGATTGACCACCTCAAAACTATTATTTTGAGGGTCATGGACTGATTACATCATCTCTCCACTGCTTCTGCTGCCCCCTGCTGTATTTCACTGAAGAAGCCTGTGTAGGCTAAGCATTTCAGAATAAAGATTCCTAACTGTTGCACATGTCTTATCAACTTGTTGGTATTGTATACCATTATTATATTCAGTACAATGGAACCTCGACTTAAGTGTCCCAACATAAGAGTTTTTTTTTTTTTTTGAGATATGAGCTGTCGCTTGGTCGATTTTTTGCTCCGAGTTACAAGCCAACATCGAAGTTACGAGCGAGCTTCCCCCACTTCCCCCTCAACTCTCACTTGTTTATCTTTGATTTCATGCTTTAATTCCATAGACATCATCTTTTTCTTAGCACTGTCCTTTGCACTTACTTTCTTAGGACCCATGGTTAGAAAAAAGAAATTTAGCAAAATAACCGCACAAAAATGCAAGCAAAACGTGAGAGAAATGCTTCCACAGCGAGGTAAACAGTGCCCTGAGTTGGCAGCGTTCTGAAGCTCCTCATTATTATTATTATAAATTTAGCGAACTGAAGCTCCCAACAAACACTCCATTTTTTTCTTATAATAAGAGTATGGGAAGATATGGTCAGAGTGGGAGGGAAAATGGCCACCACCACTAGTCACATAATGACATTTTATTCATTCTAGAGTATATATCATGTTTCTATGTTATTTATATTATATCGTATTAGATGAATTGTGATACATAGATAAGCCGTAGAGTTAATATTAGCGTATATTGAAGTATTTTTGTCCTGCCTCACGAGAGCAGGATTTCTGCTGGAATGGATTAATGGCATTTCAGTTAATTTGGATGAAGAAAATTGATTTGATATACGATCAAATTGAGTTACAAGCTAGGTCACAGAATGGATTAAACTCGTCAGTCAAGGTTCCACTGTACAGTGGAACCTTGGCTTACGAACGCCCCACCATGTGAACTTTTCAGGATATGAACCATTGTTCAGTCAAATTTTTGCTTCGAATACAAACGAAATTTCAGGATGTGTACTTCCCCCTCAAGGAAGGTTCCTTAACCCTTTCAGGGTTTCGGCCGTACTAGTACAGCTTGCGCACCAGGGTTTTTGACATACTAGTACGCCTAAATTCTAGCACCCTCAAATGTAGTGAGAGAAAGCTGGTAGGCCTACATATGAAAGAATGGATCTATGTGGTAAGTGTGTGCAGTATAAAAAAAAAAAAAAAAAAAAAAAAAAAAAATCCTGCAGCACAGTGTGTAATGAGAAAAAAAAAAAACTTTGACCATGTTTTTGGATTAAAACAGAGACTTTGCACTGTATTTTCGTATGGTATTTATTGTTGTATTAGTTTTCCTGGTCTCATTTTATAGAATGGAAGACATATTACAGAAATTGAGATGATTTTGACTGGTTTTACAAAGAAAACTACCTTGAAATTGCGCTCAAAGTAGCAGAAATATTAGATTTTTACCAAAGTTCAAAAGTAAACAAATCATGCTATGCGTCCAATACACATCAACTGGTGAGTCTAGTATTCTTTTGCAAGTGCGCTGATAATATTTATGCCATTTCTACACCAATGCAGTAGGCTGCATAATGGTAAATCTTCTATTTTTTTGTGAGAATAAAAATTCAAAGTGGAAAGCAAAAGAATGTAAGAAGGGCATGGGGATGTGACTTATGAACAGAGGAAACGTTATTTTAGTGCCAGGAATGTCTGTCTTGTTTATTCTGGACCCTATTCGGAAATTGGCATCTTTTGAAATTTGTGTGAAATTGGCAAAATTGCTAAATTCTGACCACTGTACATGTATTGGATAGTTGAAATCGGTAAATGGGTAGTTTCTTGGACTCGTTTGATAGAAAAGATGGAGTTCTAGCGAAATAGTTATGATTTTTGTCGACAAGTACACTGGAATTGGCCGAAAATAGGGCTCAAAGTGGGCAAAATCGCCGATGCGTAAACATTGTCGAGATCGCTAACTTTGCAAGAGCACAATTCCACAAGTTTTCCATCAAATTTCATACTTTTGGTGTCATTATGATCGGGAAAAGATTCTCTATCTTTTCATAAGATTTTTTTTTTTTTTTAAATTTGGCCATCCCTGAGAACAAGTCTTTGAGAGGGCCTGTTGACCCTGAAAGGGTTAAATTAGGTCTGCCAAAATGCCGAGGCATTTTGGGCAAACCTAATACTTATAGACTACTTAAATCTAGACAGGTGAAAGTAGTGGTTACCAATGTTTTGCTGATGGTGGCACCAGCTACTGGCAGCCTTTTGAAGTTTCTCCATGCTGTTATTACTATTATATTGTATTATTAGTAGTAGTGCATACGTGATGAGGGGCTCTTGATCTAGGGAATTTCATTTATGTTCTAGTTCCCTAAATTAAGTCTGAATACCTTCCATCCCCTCCCCCCACAAGTGCTTCCCCATATAATAACAACAATATAATAATAACACATATAATAATATACATGTACTATAATAATTATAATAGATCGCTTTGATTATTATTATTATTATAATCAAGGGGGAAGCGCTAAACCCGGAGGATTATACAGCGCCTGGGGGGGGGGGGGATGTGGAAGGCATTCAGGCTTAATTCGGGGAACTGGAGCACAGATCCAATTCCCTAAATCAAGAGCCCCTCACCAGCATCAAGGAACCTTCCTTGAGGGGAGATCGCTTTGAAAGGCCGTCACTAGATGGCAATGAATACCACAACAATGCGGAAGCGGTTATGGCTGCCTCCACTCGCCGTATTATGGCCTATTTTATTCATTTTAGAGCATATATCATGTTTGTTATTTATATTGCTGCTTATGCCATATTAGATCAATTGTAATAGATATTATTATAAACAAAAAGAAGTGCTAAGCCACAAGGGCTATACAGCTTGTAATAGATAAATAAGCCATAGAGTTGATATTAGCATTATATTGAAGAGTAATTTCCTGCCTTTGAGAGCAGGAATTCCGCAGGAACGGATTAATGGCTTTTCAGTTAATTTAAATGAGGAAAATTAACTTGGTATACTAACAAATCAGGATACGAACAAGGTCGCAGAACTGATTAAATTTGTAAGCAGAGGTTCCACTGTACTCTACTCTGTATTCTTTGTTTTACATCTCAGTGTGCTATTTGTTAAATATAGGTGTTAACCCTTAAACGGTCCAAACGTATATATACGTTCTCTCTCGTAGCACCCCAAACGTGTATATACTTTTCATTTGTCATTTATTCAACATTGGCACGATAGGCCTGAGTCGCCTAGACATGAGAGAATGGGTGTGTGCACTCAGTGTGTGCCATATGAAAAAAATTGGGGATGCCTGGATACCACATGCTCTTTTTTCCTATTAAAAAAAAAAAATTCTCTCGAAATATTCGGGGCGCTGCGCAGGTGAATATATATATACATTTGGACCGTTTAAGGGTTAATTATCAGTTTGGTAAGCCCCATATCCTAATAAGTTCTTGTGAGATCTAATGGTAATTTCTTTTTCAGCTTCCTGGATAATCGTGTGGGTGGATTCTGGAACTGGATGTTTACGCTGAGCAAGGTTCCTGAGCTTGGTGACACGGTGTTCATCGTATTAAGAAAACAGCCCCTAATCTTCCTACACTGGTACCATCATGTCACAGTCCTTCTGTATGCTTGGTATTCATATTCCGATTACATTGCCACTGCACGATGGTTCGTCTGTATGAACTACCTGGTGCACAGCATCATGTATAGCTACTATGCTCTAAAGGCCCTCAAGTTCCGGGTGCCACGTTGGATTGCAATGAGCATTACCACTGCACAGCTGGCTCAGATGATAATGGGGGCTGCTGTCAACATCTGGGCTTACCAAGTGAAGCAAGCAGGCAATGAATGTCATGTTTCATATGACAACATTAAAATCTCTCTCCTTATGTATACTTCCTACTTTGTCCTCTTTGCACACTTCTTCCGCCGAGCTTATGTTGTGAACCCGAAGCAAGTAGGAGCTCAGCCAGCCAGGAAGGGCCAAGAATCTTTGGCTTATGAAGGAAAGAGTAGCAAGGGAAAATTGGAATAAAGATTAATGAGGTTGGACACACACAAAAATAATAGCTACATGTCTTTGCTACAAAACCTCAATTTTCCAAGAATTGTTGGTATGTAAAGGTTAATTCCAAGGATATTATGATGCATTGATTCATGCTGTTCTGCTTATCATTCTGTTTCTTGACATAAGAACATGTTCAGTGGATCTTTGGAATGTTGTTAAGAGGAAGTTGCAGCTTCTCAAACATTAAAGCATATAACTTTTTAAGGTCATGACCAAAGTTAAAACAAACTTGGGATAAGTTTTACATAACTCAAACTGGAAAGTTGAGGTTGTACTGTACCTGTAAACTCTATTTCTTCATCCAGCTTTTAAGTGCAAAGCTTCTAACAAAAACAAAACAAAAAAAACTGTGAACAGCTAAAATAAGAAAATCTTGCTGGGATGTATAATGACAGTACAGTAGTAAATATTGTCTACAGGTAAATACTCGTAAAAAAAATTTTTTGTTCTAAAAGAACCAAAAAGTGTTACTTATAACACTAATGGAATTAGTGTTATTAAAGCCTTTATCAGTTGGTTAATGCATAATAGTAAAATGGCAGATGAAATTTAGAATGAAAATAAACCCTTATTATTAAAGATTTAACACTTAATGTCTGTGATTGGACTAATGTACAGTACTGTACTACAGCAGATTGTTAATTAATTACCAGTATAGCACACTTTCTGGGTACATACTGTATAAGGAATGTACATTTGGCATAATGAAAAAATGTAGCATATGTTGAACATAAAAATCTAAGTGCATTGTCTGAGTACTGACTTTTGCTAATTAGTAACTGAAGCCTTTACAAATCCATGGGTGAATATTTTGCTAAACTAGTATGTACTAGATCCATGTCCACAGGATACTGTGGGACTGAGAAAGATGATTATTACAGTCATGGGGAACAACTAAACCCATAGGGATCATACAATTCTTTGGGGAATGGGAGGCATTCAGGTTTGATTCAAGGAAGGGGAGCACAGGTCAAATTCCTTGGATCAAAAGTCCCTTGCTGGAAGGGGATTTAGTTAGGACCCAACTGGTCTTGCATCTAAACATAAGGATTCAGTATATCTTTCTCCAACCTTTGATATCTTGAATTGCATTACCTTTGTTTGAACAGCATACTTTGTGTTTCTTGTAGTATGCTATTTTATATAAATAAAATAAATTATATAATTTATATATACTGTATACAAATTATAAACATGTATTTAATATGATTTATAAAAGAAGACTGCATAATTTAGTCTAAACTGGTTTTGTTCCCAGTTTTTTAAATTCTTTATTAATTAATCCGCAGCACGGTATGACCCTGGTGGGTTTAGTGCTTAGTCTTGATTAATTATTATAATCAAGAGATAAAATTTGTGAAAAGTGAATATTAGTACTAATTTAAAACATTGTTCACATTTGTTTTTGTTGATATTTCTGAGAAGCCTACTCTTGTATGAGTATTTATATAAATTGCCTTAACCATTATTGGTGAACCCAGTCTTATGAGAAATTTTAGTGTCTCCATTCTTATGTTATTGTTCTCGCATGAATCCCCCCCCCCCAAAAAAAAAAAAAAAATTAAGTTACATATAGGATACCTATGAAGAGTTTTAGGGGTCACCACCTCCCTGGCCCAGTCCCAGTCCAGACCTAGTTACTGGCCTGATTGACCAGCCTGTTGATGCCAACCACATGCAGACCAAGGTATTCACTACAGCCTGGATGTGGTGCATACATTGGCCTTTGTGCAGCTGACACCAATGGCCTGATCAGTCAAGTCAGCAACTGAGAAGTTTCAACACTTTACAGAAAGGGTTTTCAGTAGATCAGTCTCAAGGCACTGGATGTGTTAATGTGCGAGTACTGTACTCATTCAGCAATTCAGTAAGTAATATATATTGAGGGAAAAAATACTTTATATTGTATGCAATAGTAAATTGTGGAAACTGTACATCTGCATTTTATAGAATCATTTTGTTTGTAAAACCTGAGTAATACGACAGATCTTCCAATATGCGAGCTAAAACGTGGTAATCAGACTGCAGATGGTTAATATTTATAAAAACACTTAAAACTTCTCTTGCCTCCCAATTGTTTTGAATAGACAAACTGGTTAAGTTTAAGGTTTAACAAATCAACCTCAAGATACTCTGTGTGCTATAATGTATAGTATATATAATTTATGTTGGGCTCTTTGCAATTAACAATTTCTTCCAGTTTAAGGATTTTTTCTTTAAATAACTCAGGTGTATCTTTTAGTAATGTTATTCTGCATGGGCTTAGGGTTTAGATGTAAAAAAAAGTATGAAAACTTAACTGGTTTGTCTTTGAAATGCAGAGGCTTGAGATATCTAGCAAATCTTTTTTACAGCCAAAAAGGTGAATGAAATATTTTTTAACCTTAGGCATCAAGAGACATCTCTCTTAGTGTATTCAAGTTTACATTAATCCCTGTCCTATGAATTAAAGTATCCTTGACTGGTGGTGAACATGTTAATGTCAGCCTTAATGATCCTTTGTGTAGTCGATTGTGTTTAAACCCAATTAACGAACCATCCTTAACCTACAGTATTGTCACTGGCTTCTGTTTAATGTTCACTTGATGTTAATGACTGTTAACACTTATTGTATGAAGTTTATACCTTAATATTAGACAGTATTGTACAGTAGTCCAATTGACAGTATTTAATACTGTATTAGTTCATCTAAATGCAGAACAAATATTGGTGAAGTTGCCGATAATGTTAAATAAAAGAAAACGCACAACTAATGAGATTTATTATGGCTAGGTTTTGTTCTCCAGAAGGTTTATAAATACCCAGCATCCTGCTAAAACTGGCAAGTAAAATGTAGCCATAATAAAAGGCTCATAAGTTGCTTTTATTTATTTTTTTTTTAAATGCAGAAAGCAGAGATGCTGCATTATACACTGTAGATCTTTCAGAAATGCACAATTTAAGCACTGGCAGAGCAATTTTTTTTTTTTAATGGCATTCAAAGGAAAATATTTTATCTAGGTATATTTTATAGCATTTCTCTAGATGTTGAGGGTATTGTCTGAAGCAAAATTAAGATTTTCTCTTGTCATAAAAAACAGGAATGAAAGAATTTTTAGTTGTCATTGTTTAGCATTAATGGTTTACAATGTGTGGCTATCACTGGAAACATTTTTGTTTTGTAGTTATTTTGTGACAAGTTCATACATTTATTTCATGGAATGTCTCATTCTATATAAGCTTTTTTCTGAAAGGTACAGCTATAAAAGTTTTTAGAAAAATCAAACCTGAGTTAGGGTACTATTAGTAATGATTCAAAGATCATTGAAACTCTTAAATTCTGCGTTTTATATAGTTTAGAAAAAATACATTTCATGTTCTTTAGGTGCACAAATACTTATGTATGCAGATAGTCATACTGTAAATTTTTTTGGGAGGTTTATTGGCATGTTACAAGTGGCTATCAAAGCTGCAATCTACATTGCAAAGAAAACTAAGTTTCTGGCAAAAGAATTGCTTCTGAAGGTTGTAAGCACATCCATCTTGCAAAGGAAATTATGAAGGCACTAGTGTTGATGGCCCCTTTTATTGCCTAATTTGAGATTCAAGTCACTCACACCCCAGTTGTAGCTATTAATGCTCCAGTTTTATCCTCACTAACATGACAGAATTTGTAAAATTATATTGAGGATAGTCATTCAGTGTTACTTATGTAGATTGATGCATTGTTACTCTTAGGAGCATTATGCAAGTGTTTTGCTCTCTCAAGCTTTTTCAGTTTGTAATTTTGAAAGAGCACCAGTCTTCAGCAAATTGGATATTCTTTATAATTTGAATTAAAGATTTTTTTTTCTAAATAAACCCATTAGTTTATCAGGTGGCTTGCTCCCTTTTCTCCTAAGAAAAATTTAATTTGATTACCTAGATTTTATCATGAAAATCATTGCTGAGCTTTCCTTTATACCAATAGAACATGTAATTTTTTTTATTGTGAGCTTTCAGTAATATTGGATATATTTTAACATTACATAATTTTACAAGTTAATTAAATAATTTATTTACAATCAACATGAATTGTTGAGTAATGATTCCATCCATAGTATAACTTTTAGGGTGTGCATTATTGTAAGACAAATTAATTTTTATCTACTTAAGGACATTTTTGTTTTTTGTTTTGTTTTTTTAATATTTCCTTTTTTTTTTGGAAGGTATTAGTTTAGTGTAACCATTACCCCCCTCCCACACAGAAAAAAAAAAAAAAAATTGTTAAAACTAAGTGGTTACTACTAAACTGTTGCCTCATGGTGCCCAATTCTTAATTAAATGGAGGAATGTTTTGTCATTGTTTTATTCCTAAAAGTCATGTACATATACCCAAGAGAATACAAAAACAAAGCATTAAACCCAAGAGGGTCATAGTGCTACACAAATATTTAAAGGCAGTGAAAATTTTCTGGCTGGTCCTGTGAAAACCATCCTACCTTCTTAAATGCTTAATAATGTCCAACAGTTTTGGAAAACAAAAAGGAAGAAGTAACCTAACCATGGAAGCCCTAGTCCATGAACCTGCTACTCCCGGGCCCCTTACTGATACCGCACCCCGTTCTGACCACACTTTGGATACTCGTGATGCCCCTGTACCTCTTGCTGGTGCTGTTTCATCACCAGCTTCAGGTACCGGGGTCTCGACTGACTCCTCCGATTTGTCTGACCTCCGCCCTCCTTTGACTATGCTTCCAGCCTCTCCCTCTATGGTGCGGCAATTTCCGAATCGCCAGCCTGTCCCACATCGGACCAACTCTGGTCCCACTTCTAAACGCCAACGACAATCTCCTGATGTTACTCCCTTTCCACACGGTTTCGGACCACACAATGGACTAAATTCTTTACTTTAAGACTGACTTCTATCCTTCCAATCATAGTATTGGCAAAGCGCTCCTACGCCATGTTGGTAGAGATATTTCATTTCACACTTTGAGTGGTACGTGCATCATCACTGTCCAGAATGCTACCCAAGCTCGTGGTCTCTCTCCTTTCGCATATCGATACTATTCCTATCACTATTGAAAAACATCATTCTCTCAATTCTTGTAGTGGTACTGTCATTCTGCCTCATACCATAGTCCAACAGAATTTCCAGACATGTGGCAATGACATTCTTGAACAGCTGGAACTCCAGGATCTCCCACTCCTCAAAATAGACACTTATGTCCTTCCTGCCCGCGGGCGGAGACAATACCCTTGCAATGTGGCTCGATTTACTTTCGACAGCCGTGAACTCCCATCCTCTGTTTATGTCGCAGGACAGCGGTTACAGGTTCGAAAGGTGATCCCTACACCGCAACAGTGTAGAAATTGCTGGCGTTTTGGTCACGCGAAATATTGCAGATCTATAGCTGAATGCCCAGTCTGTGGTGCCGACGACCATTCTAATACGTCTTGCAGTCGACCTCCCTCTTGCCTTAATTGTCATGAGGCTCACCCTTCGTACTCTCACCGTTGCCAGGTCTACTTAAATGAGCATGAAATCCGTTGCCTCAAAGAAGCAGAAGGTCTCCCTTATGCTATGGCAGTTTCTCATCTCCACCTCCAAGGGAGACTACCTCTGTGATTCTTATTCCCGTGTTTCAAAACGTCCCCCCCCCACTTCCGGGGTCCCATCTCCTGCAGCCTCCTCTGTTGTTATTCCTTCCATAGTCACTCCTGTATCTAATTCCTTCGCTGTCCTGGGCTCAGATGTCCCTACTTCAACACGTCAGTCTGTTCTGACATCTTCAAGTTCTCACTCACAAGCCCGGTATTGACAAGATCTTGTACGACACCTACCAATCGCCCCTCTACTTTTAAAAGTCCAAAAAATCCCCTTTGCTCAAATCTTCCTTGCCCCCTCCTTCCCTTCTTCTGCCCCCACATTTTACCTTTCCAGTCTCTGTACCTGGTTCTTCCCCTCTCACTGGCTCTATTACAAGTGTGGAGGTTCACCCCCCTCCTCGTTCTGTGCCTCCCTCTCCTGTCCCCTTAAAAGTCTCTGCCTCTTCTGTCCCCTCCCACACTTCTTCTCCAGTTCCCAACACGCTTTTGTGTCCCCCTACTTTAGTACAGTCCATTACTGTCCCAATCTTTACTCACCCTCCTCCTTCTATCTCCAATATTGTCTCCCATACAACGTCTTTGAATTCAGAAACACTTGACGCTATTTCAGAATATACTGCAGAGACTAAACCTTCAATGGATACTGATCCACCACCTGTTCCTTCTCTTCCCTCTCCTCCATCTCCACAACTCCATTCTTCGCAATGTTCCATTCCTTCGCTGCTTGAACGTCTTCCAATGCCACTGCACGTAGACTTTTCTAACCCCTCTAGTCCGTAGGTGCCCTTCCCTACGGATTCCTGGTATTTTCCTCATTGCCAATCATGGCCTATTTACAGCGGAATATCCGCACCTCAGGGGTAATCGGGGTGAGTTTCAGATGTTGCTTTCCAGGTTTTCCCCTGTTGGTGTTTGCTTACAAGAACCAAAATTACTCGGCTGTTTTCCAACCTATCTCACGCTATAATTTGTATTCTTCGGATCCTTTCTCAGATGGGACCTTTAATGAAAGTGCCCTTCTAGGCAATGATATTCCGTACTGTCAGCTATTTGTCTATACCTCGCTGCATTACACTGCAGCCCATATCCACTTGAATAAATGGTTTACAATATGTTCTTTATATCTCTCTCCTTCTCGGGCATTTTCTATCCCAGATTTTGTTTCATCCTTACCACCACCACCACTTCTGTTACTTGGCAATTTTAATGCCCGCCATTTCCTCTGGGGGGGGGGGGGGGCTCATTGTGGCTCACGTGGCATTCAGTTGGAGGCTTTTCTCGCCTCCCACCCCCTCCATGTTTTAAATGCGGGTACTCCCACCCATTTTGATACTCATACTCTCTCTTGCACTGATCTATCGGTCTGCTCTTCCTCCACTGCATTAGACTTCGCCTGGTCTGTTCTACCGGACTTACATGACAGCGACCATTTTCCAATTATTCTTACTTCTCCTTCATAATCACCACCTTTCTGTAGCCCTCTCTGGCAATTTGATCGGGCAAATTGGGACCTTTACTTGCAACTCACTGCTTTTAGTGAGGTTCCTTCTTCATCCTCCATTGATGAGCTCCTACACCTCTTCTCGACGTCAGTTTTAACTGCAGCTTCTCATTCTATACCCCAAACCTCAGGCAGGCATTCTCAGAAGTGCGTGCCTTGGTGGTCTCCTGCTTATGCTCGTGCAGTACTTTTGAAACGCGCTGCATGGGGCAGGTACCAGTACAGTAGAACCGATGAGAGACTTCTTGATTTTAAGCAGAAGCATGCGGTCACTCGCTGTGTCATCCGTGATGCTAAATGCACTTGCTGGCGAGATTTTCCACCATCACCTCTGCTTCCTCTGAGTGCAGTCTGGAAAAAGTGAGAAAATTGAGTGGTAAAAACTCTCCTGATTCGGCTCCTGTTCTACAGGTCGCCGGTGTTGATATAGCAAACCCTCTTGACGTTGCCATTGAAATTGGCACTCATCTGGTACGTATTTCCCGGGGGCTCCATCTATGCCCCTCGTTTCTTTCCTCAAAGTCTTCCAGAGAGTTAGTACCCTTGGACTTTTCTTCTCTCAGAGAAGAACAGTATAATGTGCCTTTTACACTTAGGGAACTGGAGGCAACACTCTCAGCTTGCCGATCATCGGCAGCTGGGCCTGACAACATTCATTTTAGGATGTTACAACATTTACATCAGTCAGCCCTTACAGTCCTCTTACACCTCTTCAATCTTATTTGGTCACAAGGAGTTCTTCCCCAGCTGTGGAAATCTGCCATTCCGCCATTTCCGCAAGCTGGGTACTACGGGACATGATGCCTCCCACTATCGTCCCATTGCTCTTACTAGTGCAGTTTGCAAAGTGATGGAACATCTGGTAAATCGACGTTTAATGTGGTATTTAGAGACACACAACAGTCTCTCCACTAGTCAATATGGCTTTCGTAAGGGCCGCTCTACCATAGACCCCTTACTACGCTTTGATACGTATGTTCGTAATGCCTTTACGAATAACCACTCAGTTATTGCCATATTTTTTGACCTTGAGAAGGCATATGACACAACTTGGAGGTATAATATTTTGACCCAAGCCCACCCCTTAAGCCTCCGAGGCAATCTACCATCCTTCCTTAAGAACTTTTTAACTGACAGACATTTCTATGTTCAAGCTAATAATGTGCTCTCCCCAGACTTTGTCCAAGCTGAAGGTGTCCCTCAGGGATGTGTTCTGAGCACAACACTTTTTCTCCTTGCTATAAATGATTTGGCCTCTGTTCTTCCATCCAATATTTGGTCATCACTCGATGTTGATGACTGTCACCTCATTACAGTTTCTCTCCAGCATGCAGTCGACCGTGTTTCCAACTGGGCCACCATGCATGGGTTTAAATTTTCCAGTACCAAAACTCGCCAAATTACTTTCACTAGACGCTCTGTCATCTCCGATCATCCTTTGTACCTCTATGGCTCCTGTATCCCTGAACGTGATACAGTCAGGTTTCTAGGCCTTCTCTTTGACTGTAGGTTATCCTGGAAACCTCATACGTATTACCTCTCTGAAGGTAACTTGTCACAGCCGGCTGAACCTTCTTAAAACCCTTGCTCATCTTTCATGGGGAGCTGATCGTCGAGCTCTCCTTCACCTACATTCAGCCCTCATTTTATCGAAACTCGATTATGGTGACCAGATCTATTCAGCGGCCTCTCCTGCTACTCTCTCTAGCCTTAACCCCATCCATCACCAAGGATTACGTTTATGCCTTGGTGCTTTTCGCTCTTCCCCTGTTGAGACCCTCTATGCAGAAGCGAATGTTCCATCCTTGTCTGATCGCCGTGATGCCCATTGCCTTCGCTACTATGTACGATCTCCACAATCCTTCCATTTATAGGATGGTCACTAATACAGTGGACTCCCGCTTAACGATCACCTCCCAATGCGACCAATTATGTAAGTGCGTTTGTACATGTAAGTTTAGAGGTCTGAAATGGACTAATCTACTTCACAATATTCCTTATGGGAACAAATTCGGTCAGTACTGGCACCTGAACATACTTCTGGAATGAAAAAATATCGTTAACCGGGGGTCCACTGTATTAGTAGACATTCTTTATTTGTTCGCCATCCCTGTTTGCTCCATCCCTTCTCTCTTCGCCTACATTCGCTCTTGTCTTCCCTTCAGTTACCACCTTTATATGTTCATGTAGCATCTCACTTTTCCCTATCCCCCTGGGAAGTTCCAGCTGTTCGGGCCTGTTCTT